AAAACTGATATTCTGGAAGGCATCTCAACATTATTTAGTTCACTGATATTCTGGAAGGCATCTCAACATTATTTAGTTCAGTAGTTAAAAGCTAGTCCTGTTAACCTGCTACATTGATTTGGATCCTGAAATAAGGATCTTGAGGTATAAAAATTAAATATAAAGGTAGGAACCTAATTAGAGATGTGCTGTTGGAATAAAGGATATGGGCATATGACACCCAACACTGTATATGAGGTAAGTTTAATCTGAATACAAAGGTCTTTCTCTTTGCACATTCAGCTAAAATTGCTGAAACTGCTGTGGTATGTTTCGTATATCTGTAAGGTGGGGGGATATACATAGTACAAAAATTTCTTTTAAATAGCACCATCCACAAATAACTGGACTCATTTCTACTGGTAACATCCTTACCATAAAGACATGATTTGATTTGGACTTGTAGTGCTTTACTAGTTTTCACTTCCTTGAAGGTTCTTAGGGAAGGCCTTAGGCCAGAGCTAAAGAGAACTTTCTTTCTGTACCCAGCTCTACCATACATATTTACTTTACTATTTAAGTCAGTTTGTTTCTCAAAATTTGGTGTTTTCTTAATTTTAAGAAGAGTGGGCAGGCTTAGTTAGCAGTTGGCACAGGAAAGCAGATCCAGGGGAAGGTTATTGATAAGGAGCCCTTGTTTGCAATAAGTAACTCCTCTTTTGTCTGTTGTGTATTACTTTAGTAAAGTGGGTACAAGTTTAATTGAACAAAGAGATTGAAATGACTGGCCTACCTGATCAAGACTTATTCTCCTAGAGATGAGAGTTCATTTGATGAATAAAAGGATAGAATAAAAATGAGTAGACTCAGTCACCCTTAAGAATACCATACATGTAGAAATAATCTTTATAGTTAGATGGCTGAGTAGAATGTCAACATAATCAGTTATAAGGTGTATGAAAGAATTGTAATGTCAAACACCACAATCTGATTATTTGCTGGTAGTGAATTTACATGTCAAGGATGTACCATACTAAGCATTAAAACGTTTTTAATATATACTGATTTTATACCATGGATGGCAATTTTTTAATTAGTTGATGAATTCAAACATTGTTTAGACAGTATTGGGATTTAAAATGGGGTTTCATGTCTGCTAGGCAAGTCCTGTACCTCTTGAGCCACACTCTTCAGCCCTTTTTGTTTCAGTGTCTTTATCAGATAGGCTCTTGCACTTTTGCCAAAGCTGACCTCAGACTGTAATCCTCTTTGCTCTACCACCCAAGTAGCTGGGATTACATGCTTGTGCCAACATGCCTGGCTTTTTATTTTTGACATGGGTTTGGCCAACTTTTTCCTGTGCTGACTTCAAACTGTGACCCTCCTATCTCTGCAAGTATGAGCCATTATGCCTGGCCATGAATTAAAGCATAGTTTCAATGAAGCAATTAGTCACAATCTCCTGGTGACAATCAAGTAAAGTAACTACAATGTTATAATACTTACTGGTATAGCAACAACACTGGCCTAAGACCACATCAGAAATATTTCTTCAGTGTCCCTACATCCCTTTCATAAGGGATTTAACAGCATGTATTAAGAGTTATCATGTGGAATAGGTTAATATCATATAACCTAGAATTGTAATTCCAGGGAATGAAGATGCTGGACCTACTTAGATTGAAAAGTTGGTCATAAAAATTTTTTACTCCCAAGCATCAGTTAAATTTATAAAACTTATTTTGATAAACTAAACTTATACTCTAGCTATCTTAGAGTTCTTGTTTTATATTTTTCCTCTTGGTACCTGGTAATGTATGCTTCCAAGTGTAAATCTATTGGAGCAGCAGACAGTTATTTTCTCAGCAAGATCTCAAATTTGTGCATTGAAGTATCCTAAAGATCAATTGTCAGATGATATAATTTCCCCTCTCTCTTTGCAATTTATTTTCAGGAAAAGGAGAAGAAATGACAATAAAGGAGACAATCACCATGTCCCTCATTCCAAAAGGAGTAAGAGAAACCCTGCATTTCAGGATTCACAGAATAGAGAGGTACGTCACATAGCCCTTATTTCATTCATTGCTTCCACTAACTCATTGAATTTGATCTCTGTAATTATGAGCATTATTTTAAGAAAATATAAAAAAAGTATTTCTCATTGACTACAGTGGCTTCTGATTCAGAGTTGTTAAGCATGACATCAATATCTCACAGATGGTAGAAAGAAAACACAGAAAGAATTTGCTAAACCTCATCAGGTTATCAGGTTCTAGATAATTTCTCCATCATACAAGTACAGAATAATAAGCTTAGTCCTATTATATTTTCAAGTTCATAATATATGTGTTTGGCTAGAAGGCAATTCTCCTTTTCTCAGTGAAAAATGAAAATGAAATTGGGGATGGTGTCAAGTGATTTTTACAAAGTTTTAAAGGTGCGTGAATTTTAAGTAAAAGAGACTTAACTTTAATGACTTGTACTCCTTAGCACATTATTGTTTAATACTAGAGTATTAAAGGAGTTTTGCAAAGTCTTTCTGGATGAATCCTGATAGTTAATGACTAAGTGCTGTTCACTTTACATTTTGTGAACAAGAAATGAAAGGATAGTTAAATGATTTTGCAAAACATTAATGTTACTGACATTGAAGTGCTTGAATTTTAAGTAAAAGAGACCTAACCTTAATGACTTGTGTTCCTTAGCACATTGCTGTTTTAACCGAAGTATAATTTACTACTAGAATATTAAAGGAACCTTACAAAGTCATTAAGGATGAATCCCATTAGTTAATAACTAAGTGCTGCTAACTTTTACATTTGTGAGCAAGAGGTAAAAGGATAGTCAATCTATGTCCTCCTCTGGAGCCTGGAACCAGGTAGTGATATTTCTAGATTCTGGGCAGCTATTTGGATGGGTAAAATGTACCTAGATTTAAGTCATGTGATTTGGCTCATAGCATCTTTATTTGCAAATAGCTGCATGTATATAACTATCACCCTTTATTTTCAGTGTTAACATCTTCACCAAGTACACCAAAACTTTATAAAAATCTGTCCCATGGAACAAAGGCTTATACTTGTGCAAATGTTTCTGTACATGTTGTACTACTAGCCAAGAACATTCATTTCATGGTGTTTCTCTGATTACTGAGCGGAACAAAAAATTGAGAATGGTAAAGTATATAGATCTAAACCAAGTGGCTTGCTGAAACAGATCTTGGCCTTTTGTTCTTCTACTAAGAAAGGAAAAGAGTTGAAGCCCAATGTGTGAATTCCAATGGAGAATCACAAGTAAGAGAATGAAAGAAAAGTAGAGCTGGGCCCCACATACATTTAATATGAGAGTTCTATGAAATCTTTATTTTTTTACATCTGGTAGGAGCTGTCTTCCTGTCATGTCTTGGATTTAAGTACTTTAAGTTCAGATGACAGTTGGAACATTTAGAAAACTTTCAGAAACTCTTTTCTCTTGAATTCTTAGTAGTTTGGATCATTCTCATCAACTTTGCATATATTTGAAGAGGCAGAACTTCTCTGGGAGGCATTTGTGGGATAAAATGTTATTGGGCCAGTTAATGGTTACTACTTGTGTTTTCATAATATGGCAAAATGGGAACCTCCTGAATCAAGCCTCCACTTAGAAGAGACATTGAAAATGGAGGGACAAGGCTTGCCAAAGATGGCCTAGTCTGTTACATACATTTTAAGAAACCTTGTTGATGGAGCACACCATGTATGGCAAGCAGTTTGATACTGAAACTTAAATGAGTGAAGATAAGCATGTCCACCTGTTCTTTGCAGGTGAGGATTACCCATCAATCTTTTTTGTTTGTTTGTTCAAATCATATTTAATTAGTTCAAACAACATGAAAGTTGTATACATTTCAATAGTTTTATGGATTGGATTATAAATTAAATATTTGTGTCGGAAAACAACATAGAACTCAGAGTCTGTCTCAACTTCATTGAATGAGGGAAATTCATTTACAGAAAGCATAGACTACCTTACCAGATCAGTACAAAGAAGTTAATGCTTGAATACCTTACTAATACGGAAAGTGATTGTAATTCAGCAGCCTAGTTAGTTGGGTGTCTGTCGCTCCTAAGATTCCACAGTGTTTCAGTGGTATTAGGCAATATGGGCCAGTCGGTTTTAGTGTGTGGGGACTTTGGGAGCACATACTTTAAGTGGCCTGAAGGATGTGGCTAGGATACTTTTAGTCAGTGCAGTTTCTTCAGGTACCTTCTAGTAAACGTATGACAATTCCATGGATGCAGTGGGTATGAAGAGTGAATTTCGTTATTCTGTTGGGGTTCACATAAATGACTAGTTCTGAGGCATGGGGAGATGTAGTGGAGAAGAAAGCAAGGGCTGGAAATATTGTAAAGTTCTGGATTGGCTTGCTTTTACAATTAAGAAGCATCATATAATCCTCAATCGTAAATATACGTGTGAATTCCCATTCTGTTTCTATGAAGATACTCCATAGTTAGCATTCTTCCTCATTGCTTCCATTTCAGTTCATCCACTGTTTCTTTTGTTAGCCTGCTGAGGTGCTCTTTCCCTTCCCAACTAATCATGCACCTGTCTTTTATTTCTCTCAAGTACTGTGTCCTTTCACTCACATTTAATTCCAAGCTGTAGTATGTATTCACTGCCTTTCACTTCTCACCTCCCTTCATGCAACTACTTGCTAAACCTAAGCTCCTCCAAACCCCCTTATGCCTCTGCTATCAAATATGTCAGGGAACACAGACTTGCTAAATTCAATCACCGAGTATTTACTGAGCACCTACCAGTTGCCAAGCATTGTACTCAGTGCCTGGGGTGAACTTAGATGCATTGGCCATTTTCTCACTGACTCCTTTCTCTTCTGCCTCTGTGCATATCAAATATGTCCCTTTCATTACATTCCCACCGTCCCAATTCAGGCCTGCATTGCCTCTTGCATTACAAAATTTCTTGGGTGGGCTTTGCGTTCTCATTGTTCTCTAACCCCATTCAACCATGAGAGTCATCTTCCTAAACATTCATTAGAGGATGTCTCTTAAGTTCAAGTGCCTGTCCTACAGATTTCTTAGTGTGACACTAAAGGCCCCTGATGACACAGTCCCATCTTCTTTTGCACATTTTGTCTCCCAGTAACTCTTCTTGGAGAGGCATCAGCCACAACATGTAGATGGTCTCCTCACAAATATCTTCTTCCACTTGCTTGTGCTCTTGTTCTGCCCATTTGTCACATTCTTCCTTCTAAGATTCTCCCCATCCTACAAAGCCTAATGTAGGTCCCTTTCATTTTAATGAGGTTCCCTTTCTCCCCAGTCAGCATTCATCTCTACCTTATCCTCATTGTAATAACAATGCTGTCGTTCTCAAATTATTCTACTTAATTAAGCTCAGGAATTACCTATGGAATCCCTATTGAGCCCTGAAGAAGTGCCTCCTTCTACACTCATTAGACACCCAAATATCTGTTTGGACACTGACTGGGTATTGCAACAACCCATGCTTGCCTAAGAACCTCTTGGTGGGGGGGCTGTTGTGTGGGCTGAGTCAAACAGACAAAAAGCCCCAATGTGATTCTGTTGCCTGTACCCAAATACAGTATGTTAAGGCAGGTCTCTGCTGGCCTTAAAGCTTTTTAGGCTGTGGGGTGAACATTCTGTTTCCACTATGTCCCAAACTAACCTAAAGTGCTCCCTTTACACACAGACCTGGGACCCACGATTTTTATGAAGTGTCTTTGCAAATTTTGCTTGGTGAGATATCCTCCTTTGGAGTTTTTAATTGTGCTGTTTATGTGAATTTTCAAGACCTTATGTACTAGATTTGTGGTGCACAGATTTAAGCACTAAAGCTGTATTGAGACTTCATAGAAAAAAAAAAGAGTGAGCATTGTAACTTTCCAGTAGGGCAAACATTCTGAAGAGACATTGCTGAGGATGATGAAAACGGTAGGAAGGATTTTATTTTGGGAGTTTTTCTTAATCTTGGTACATATAAAATCCCATTTATCCTCTCATAAAAGAATGTTCTGAGTTTCTAAAAATAAAGTGCAGTAAGGTAAAAGCCTCTGTATTAAGAAAGCAGGAGCACCTGTCAAAACCATAGACCTATCCAGGAGCAAACTTTTCCTCCCAACTGATCTCATAATAATACAGATCACTAAGCTGGAAATCTCTCATGACATATATTCACAAATACAAAGTGTAACAAAGCCCAGGATGTATAATGTGGGCTATGTTTATTAGATAAACAGTGTTAGTGGCCTAGAAAAATATTATTGTATATGACTTTGTAGACATTCTTCAGTAGTTTATAGGAAGCAAAACACTCTGTAAAATCTCATGTCCATCATCACAGTTCATTTTGCATCTTTCTTTTGAAGTTAGAAGTAACTGAATCCTAATGTATTTTTCCTTGGTGTTGTTAGTAGCATTCTTTAGTTTACTTACTTAAAGTCAGATGTTTATTTTTCACAAAACTGGTACATTTATTGTAGATGAGTTAGAAAGTGAAGATACCTGAAAAGGAACAATATGAAATTATTTATATTTACTTATTTATTGATGATGTATTAAAGTGCTCATATTAAAAAATGTGTCAGTGTACATTTGTGCTTTTATCTCCATGAAAGTGACTTCAAAGTTTTAAAAATTCCATAAGCTGGAAAATTCCATAAACTAGAAGTAGATCTTTCCTCACAATGATTCTAAAAATTCCCTTCTAGCCTGTGGGTTTTAATTTCTTATTCCTTTATCACATTATAGCATCATCCTAGTGACATTATGGTGTAAAAGAGAGATGTCATTGGAGATGAAAATTTGATTCATCAGAAATAATTTCTGGGTATTGCTTTGTTTCTCAACTGTTCTTTTAATGAAAAAAAAAACAATATGAAATGCCAACTAACAGGGACTCACATGTGTGTATTGAGCATCTCATCCAATGTAATAGCTTAATTAATGTTTTAATCTTTATAACTAAGCCATATTGTAACAATAGAAGTCCTAGATTTTCACATTTCACTGCTAGGAATTTAATTTTCCTGATTCTTTTTGGCATGTATTTTAAATTGATTTGATAACCATTGCTGATAGCTCTCACAAATCACATCATTTGACTCTTCTTATGTCTTTCATGGACATTTAAAAATATATGAATCTAGTTGCATAAATATTGTATATTGATACTTGTGAAAAATATAGTAAATTGAGTATATCCGAAGGATGTATGGATCATGATTCTTCTTAGTTTAAGTCATATTAATGTTTCTTTTGGAAAACATTGCCTTATGAGAAATGCACTCCAAACATTGTTTAATATTTTAATTCAGACCTTCTCCTGTAAAAATCCTGAAATATGTAGAAAAGAAATTATTGAATATAACTTTTAAGAGATCCCTGAGTAGCTTCTCCAACATGACAAATACTGTGAATAATGTTAGATCAGTGAAAAACAATTTTCAACACACACACACACACACAGACCATTATACCTCCCACAAATAGGAGACCAACAAATGGTAGACATCACAAATCCCAACCATTAACAGATAACTGTCACTACATATATCTCAAACTGTCAAATGCCTTTCAGGATATGTGTGGAATCTTGAATTGATATAGGAGGACCATACATGTCAACCATCATAGAATTGCATATATGCATGTATGCATGAGTATGTGTGTATCTAACAACTTATTTGCCTCCTTTTAACTTTTACCAAATTTTATCTAACTATTTATGGACCCGATTTCTACCATATACAGGAGCATTTGATTCATGCTTTCTCTTGAATGAGAAGAATTTACTTCTGTGGTGCAGGTTATGGGAACAAGTGGTATGAGGAAGGTTAGAGGATATGTGAAGGGATTTGGAATTAGGCCTGTTTTTGAATCTTCATCCTAATACTCCTAGCTGTATAACTTTTGGCAACTCAGGGATCTATTTTCTTTTCTGTAAAATAGGAGTTATTATTTACCAACTTAATTTATAATGTTATTTTGAGGATGGAATGAACAACCTTAAGTAACTGTACTTTGTAAACTGCTAACACTTGTATAGTTTGATACTGCTATTCTCCAAGAGGAATAGTAAAAATATTACACTATCCTGATAGTGATCTCATCCTGTCTTGTTCCTTCTAGTCATCAAGCAGTGATAATGAAAGGAACAACACCAGTATTAATAGTACAGAGACAGGAAGGGGACCAGAAAGTGGCTTGAACCAGATCATTGCTGGACTCAACTCAAATAACCCTCAGCTCTACCATGAGGAGCATGCACTATACCAAAATCCTTATTTCCACATCAACCAAGTCTTGAAGGAGGCTCACTTCCACAGCCTGCAGCAGCGAGGACAATCTCCAACATCATGAGCCTAGAGCTCCTAATTCCAACCTAAAACTTGTTTATAAAAACAATCACAAAAGATGTCCTTTGACTTCTCTGTCTGTATTTTAAATAACAGTTTAGTGGATAATTGTTTTTGGAATTTTGCCACACTATTGTAATTTCAAAGAGACTTTAATGAAATTTTTACATGATTGGTGTCAAGTTAGGTGTCAAATTCATGTAACGGTAACAACATGAGGAATCTTCATCTGTACATTGAATTCATACTCTGTCCACTTACTGTTTGTTTCCAAACCAGTCAATTAGAATCTCCACATCAAATATCTTTTAAAATGTGATTCTGTCTTTTAAAAATTCAATGTCCTTGTAAAGGGTATGTATTTTCATTTAAAGCAAATGAGAAAACCCCAAACCATAAATAAATAAAACCTTGATCTAGTGGTCACTGTAAATCTTTTATCCTAGAAAATACAGCATGTCATTTTGACCCTGCCTTTTGCAAATAGTTTAAACATGTTTATATATAAACCAGCATATGTCATTCAGTTTTAAAAACAAAATTGAGATGTAGAGAAGAAACCTGGCCCTTCCAAATTTTCTCTACTGTGTAGCAGAAGTATTTTCTAAAACTTCCATAAGAAAAAAAGAGTTCTCTGGATTTTTTCCCAAAAGTAGATTTGAAGACGGCGAGCCAGATTAACTCATAGATGAAATTGTACATTGTCTAAGAAATGTCCCTGAAGAAATTAGAACATCAACAAGGGAAGAATGTTCCACTGGTTGTGAGGTTGGTATTATATGTGGGGAGTGAGGACAGTCTATGTGAGTTCCTGACCACAACCCCTGAGGCACTGTGGGGTGGGCTGTCCAATTCACAGGAGAGGAGAGGGATGCTGGCTACAAAGTCATCCACATGATCACATCCAATCCTGAAGAAATAGAGAGTGGTTAATGATCTGCTGGAAGCACAGTGGGCAAGAGTGATGCTAGGCTTGATAACCAGATCTATCTTTTCCACTTTGAAACAGGCTGCCTTTCCTCTAATATGGAGCTGCTTATAGGGCAGATCAGGTTGATACTCACAGCAGAAGGTAGAGATGCCCACTAAGTAGGAATTTGACATGAACAGACATTTGACATCTGTCTGAGTGATACCAAACCCTTGGAACATTTGAAGAAAAAGTGTGTGTGTGTGTGTGTGTGTGTGTGTGTGTGTGTGTGTGTGT